AAAGGGGAAAGGTTGCCTACCCCTGGCTTAGACTGTCGTACTTTGGACCCATCGTGAGAAAGCATGAATCGTTGGAAAAGACAATAATGTTAGGAAAGGTGGAGGGAAGTAGAAAGAGAGGAAGGCCACATGCCAGATGGATGGACTTTATTAAAGAGACCATGAATAAGAGTTTGCAGGAGCTGGGCAGAGCAGTGGAGGACAGAGGGGCCTGGAGATGTCTCATCCATAGGGTTGCCATGGGTCGAGACCAACACAAAGGCAGTTAACAATAACAACAAACTTGCCCATAGGGATACATTGAGGAAACACCTGCTTATAGAGAAACATAGGCCTCATTCCCACTACGTTATAACCCAGTTTGAAGTGGTTTAAATGACCCTTGTTCCCACGTGAGCCAAGTCACTGAAGCAGTTGAACATCTCCAATGTTTCCCTATGGGCAAGGGTGGCTTCTCTATGGGCAAGAACTGTCATTTGTTTTAGTGCGTCCCAATGAAAGATATACTAGATTGGAGACCACACTCAAGAAATTAGAAGAGTACTAGGAATGGGAAGGGCAGCTATGAAAGAACTGGACAAGATCCAAAAAAGTAAAAATAAAACTCTGAACAATAAAGTAAGGATCATCCAAGCCATTATATTCCCCATCACTATATATGGGAGAGCTGGAGAGCAAAGAAAGCAGGTAAGAGGAAAATCAATGTATTTGAGATAGTGTGGTGCTGGAGAAGAGTGCTGAGGAGGATCCCATGGACAGCCAAAAGGACAAACAAATGGACCCTAGAGCAGATCAAGCAAGAGGCATCTCTAGAAGCCAAGATGATGAAATTAAGGCTGTCCTACTTTGGACACATCATGAGAAGGCATGATTCATTAGAAAAAAACAACGATGCTAGAAAAAGTAGGAAGAGAGGAAAGCTCCATGCCGGATGGATAAACTCTTATTAGGGAAACCACAGGCCTGAGATTACAGGATCTGAACAAAGAGGTAGAAGGTGGGGGGCTGGAGACGTCTCATTCAAAGTCGAGATCATCTTGAAGACGGCTAACAACAACAACATCGGCCTCCTTTTTGGTGAGGAGGACACCCGGTCACCCTGCTCCTGTCCACAGCTCTACTTCAGTGTTTCCTCATGTCCTGGGTGATCAAACATCCTCCTTTTCCAGGACATGCCCTATGTTTCAGCCTTCGGCCCAGGAGGAATTTCAAAATGTCTTTCATTTTAAGCCTGACTAATAAGACACACAAACTAACATTTATCAGTGAAGTCATCACTTCACCAGGGCACAACAACCATTTTACTTAGGCAGGCCTTTAATTCTTAAACCATGTGGTAGAAGGGTGTTTGAAAGTAATGCGGTCTGCCTTTATATTTTAAAATACATTTGAAATGCATTATAAACTTTTGTCATTGCATGCTTTTAAAAGCAGAACTGTTTGTTAAATAGTTTTTTTTAAAAAAAAAACTTTTGTAAAGTAGGCATCTAGCTTAATTTTGTTTGAAATTAGAATAACTTTTTTTGTGTGCCACACTGGGAGAAAAGCAGGATATGGTAAAATAAATACATCAATAAAATAATGAAATAAATAGTATACTTCCCAACATTTCACAGATGAAAACTGAGACACATATGGCCAAGCAGTATGGGAGTGTGGTCAAGAGGGCAAAGTTATTCATGAGGAAGGACACATAACACAAGTTAGGAAAGGCTGCAGCGTTTTGGTTTTGCCTGAGCCTACTGGGAAGGGTAAGATTACATCTTCTCCTCTCCTTATGTTA